ATAGGAATCCTCGCTTGACCTTCAGATGCTCCCAGCTAAAGGTGCAAGTTGAGTACGTATGCAAATGCCACTGCGATGCTGCTTGAAACTCATGCATGACTTATTTTGAAGGAATTGTTCATAGTCGTTCGCTTCATCCACTGTTTTCGTACCTTTCTGTCTTCTGCCGTGCTCACTTCCATTTGTGATGTGCGTCTATACAAGCCAGATGTTCTTATATGGTAGAAGAGGGGGTATCAACATCATAACATCACATTATGTAGATTTACATCTCAATTATGATCTGGTTCTCGCTTTGTTAGTGGTTGGTTATATCGTCGGTCCATCAGTTCAGCTCAAGACTTCTATACCTTGTGAATAGCTGAGAATGGTCTGCACATGTCCTGTCTTATACTTGACGACTCAGCACAACGAATCACAGGGGTACCTTAAAACCAAGGCCCAGTTTTGTTAACGATGTACTTTTGTAATCGCGACCCCTCACCGTTCACAATCGGGGCATTCTGCGTATAGATGGCATCCACCACTGATAAATCGACACACTAATTTAGTGATAAATATGTATGCTATAGAAATGATGAGATTTGGTAATTTACATGAGTCCTGTTTAGTTCGTTCCACATTTAGTCGAAATAGAGGTATCGTTTTCCGCAAACGATTTGGCTTTTGAGAATGGTTATCCTCCACTTTGTAAAGTTTGCGATCGGATCGGCACAAGCGACTGCCCGCGTGGCTGTTTTTCGGAAGGCATGGTTCGCCACGTGGACGTCCTCGCGATCAACGTAATGATCATGAACGCTGATTCGCATGTGTGACCTTGTTGTGTTCTAAAACGAGATCTTGCGTAGGAGCGTAACTTATTGTAGTTCTTGTGAAGTGTGATTCGAGCAAGCATAACTCAGTGGATCAAATTTTAGTAATTTTTGATTATATGGTAGTGAACAAGCTTCAATTTTGGCTCAATGAATTTCATCGATTCACGGGAATTCAGCAGAATATGTTCGCGTGTCGCGACTAAAATTGCATTTACATGAACAAACCCAGATCGAGGTACAGTCGATATCCGAAAGTTGGGGTGGGTGTGTCACCGGAAGTGACGTGCACTTGATAGAAGTGCGTGGATAAGCTGTTGCCAGCATGCTTTGCTGATAGCCAGCGATGTATGTTGGAAGCAGCTTATCCACATAGTTTTTATCAAGTGCACGTCACTTCCGGTGACACGCCCACCCCAACTCACCGATATCGAGTATACCTAGAGCAAACCTTTGATCTCAGCGGGTATACGTGGGGTGTGATTGGTGACCGCTCACATTCCAGCAATCACAGATTCCAGATGCGGTGTAAGCTGGGTAGTTAGCTCTATCTAGAATAGCACTTCTGTTTTTATTCTGTATAATTAAAATGTTTTTTTTCAGGTGGCTGGAAAGAAAGGTGAAGTGGGTCACTGAGATGGTTAGCAGTTCTGTCTTCATGATATTAAATATGGCTTCTTTTTTTCGTACCGGTTTGAGGACGTGAACTTTGTATGCCACTTTTGCGCCTACAAATCACCGCATTTTCCATTTTTGTTTCATTTTTGGTGAATGCATGTAATAAATGCTTATTTTATTGCTGTTGTAGCAAACACTGGTTTTGAAATTCCACGTTTACCACAACACAACCAACGATGATCCTTTTGCACATCTTATTCTTAGCTGGTGACGGGTTTGAATATTTATAAGCTCAGTATTGATTTTTAGCCTCTCAAGGCCCTTTCCCTTTTCTTCTGGAAGGAAAACAAGATGGATGTTGAGCGTCTCATGAAGGATCTAACAGTGGATCATCTCCACCAAATCCAGCAAAACTTGCAGTTAGTTGTTTTTTTTTATTTTTTTGAATGAGTAATGAGAAAGGTTCCGTGTTGTAAAATAAACTCATGAAATATGCCTATGCACGATTATGTTTTAATTTTACTTTGGCGTACTCTACACACTGCAATATAAATGTTAAGGACGGAGATGGAAGGTAAGAAAGAAGAGCTTCGCGAGATGGTTGGTCGAAGATACAGAGACGTTCTTGAGGCTTCCAGCGAGGTTAGGCTTGGTTAGATTGCTGAAACCTGAAAGTTTCTTCTCTTGGAAAAGTAATGCTTTTCCAGGTGCGAACTGTGCGAGAACTCGCAGAAGCTCTTGCTGAGGCTGTCGCCCATGCCAGGACAACTCAAAGCGTTGTAGAGCCAAGGTAGTCACTTTACTGAAGCTCGTCTGATTCTTTGGCTCATCGTAATGTCTACTGAAATGGGGGAGGAAATTTTCAACAAATTTTTGTTGCAGCGAATACTGAACGTTGTTGCGAATCGTCTGTTATAGATTTGAACGCATCCGTCGAAAAATTAGAATTTAATGCTTTCTCTCATTTGCATTCCAAAATACATCATACATGTCCGAGCAAGTGGGACTTCAACGTGTTCCTTTTAAAAGTCAAAACTCTCCTAATGATTGTAAAAGTTTTGCATCTCCATGTTAGAAATCCACAAATCCAGGTTTGCATCTTATCTTACGTTCAGACCTCTGTCGCGTGAGCAGCAAGTTTCCGTGCAACGTTTCATCGCTCTGCACAAACTCTTGGCTGTGATAGGTGAACCAGATGGTGATGCACTGAGCGATGCGTTTGCACTGACATTAGCTGAACTTCTTCACAAACAGTTAGCGACTGAGCCGTTGTCTACTGCGGTAAGGATTACACTTGGTAATAAATAATTAAAGATAAAATTTTGTCTTGGTAATAACTAATTAGAGGATAAAATTTTGTGTTGATAACTGCTCTTGTTGGGAATACCTTCATATTCAAGCTCACATGTTTTCACAAGACGTATTTCTTGCTAACCATAAGGGAGCTCGCAGTTCGGTTCAGGATCATATCCTCAGAACAAAAATTTTTGGGAAAACATTTTCTGTACATTACGGGCAAGGGTCGGATTTTCTTAGTATAAGATTCATTGTAGTCGCATGCTTTTTTAATTGCTTCTACACCTTTTGCTTCCTCATTCTCCGTGTTGGCTGACCTTCTTTCCCTGTTCTCGATTTTGTATAGATTTGGGTTTAGTTTTGCTCCTAGTAATGAGCACTCTCGATGAAAGACATTTAAAGGATAACTTCAAACAAGCAGCTTTTAGAAGTTCCTCGTCCTTCATTCATTTTGTTTAAGATGCACTCTGTGGTGTCTGGCCTTACTGGACGGGTGATTCGCACCCGTCGACAGCTCTTGTCGGATTTGGAAGGCGAAGTTGGCGAGCTATCAGAGCCCGATTGGGTGGCGAATCAGCTAACAGCGTTGGCTCTGCTCAGAGGCACGGATTACGAACAACTTCTAGACATTTATCTAACAGGGAGAAAGGCATGATTTTCCTTCTTTTTTGGATGTTTTCTCATTTAGGTTCTGCTAGTTTTTAGAATTTCATTTCAAAGTTAACAAGTGAATCAAGTTCACTTCTGAATGTCGTCACTGAGCTGAAAAAGACGCTTGTTGTTGTTGAACAACTGTTCGCCCAGGGAGAGCTAGTTCGAATCATCCAGGCGGCTGCCTGTCCAACTTATCGGCCAGGTACTGTTTCTTCTGTTTCCATTCTCACTTTGTTATGATGAAAATTACAGCTTTGATTGACTCGCTCATTTGCGATGAAGCATTCACCTTTGGTCGTATGCTCACCACCGAATCTGAGAAGGTAACTCGCCAGCTCCGAGACTTTAAAGCAAGCCCCATTCTCTCGCAGAAGATCAACTCGAAATGCACAGATTGGATCAATGAGGTTCATTCATTTCACCTAACTTATACTAAACATGAAGCATTGGGACGAAATTACTGAATTTATATTCTCTTGCTACACGGGTTGTCATATATTTTTCCGTTGTAGTATCTAACATGCTTCAAAATAAAATGAAATTACCGAACCTTTACAGGTTTACATTTTTTCTACGTTCAGACCTCTGTCGCGTGAGCAGCAAGTTTCCGTGCAACGTTTCATCGCCCTGCACAAACTCTTGGCTGTGATAGGTGAACCAGATGGAGATGCACTGAGCGATGCGTTTGCACTGACATTAGCTGAACTTCTTCACAAACAGTTAGCGACTGAGCCGTTGTCTACTGCGGTAAGGATTACACTTGGTAATAAATAATTTCGT